CGTGGTCCCTGGGCGCAGTGGGGCGGGCTCCACCTGCGGAGGGAGAAGGGGGAGAGCAGGTCAGGCGAGGCCACGGCAGCAGGTGTGAGAGCGGGGAACAGGGGTGAGAGCGGGAACGGGCGCTGGACTAGCCGCCAGGGCCGGGTCCAAGGGCATGAGAGCGCTTGGGGCGATGCCCAGGAAGGGGAGCCAAGGGGAGGGTGCCCGCTGCGTGGCTTTGCCATGAGGAACAGTCACATCTGAGCCCTGGGGTGTCCCTGCCCGGCCGTGGTCCACGTGGAGACTCAGGCCGGGGAGCAGGAAGGGGGCCAGCTCGGGGCCAGGGCCCGGCAGGAGTGTGGCCAGACTCCCGCAACCGCCTTGGACACCCTCGGCCCCAGCCCCCGGTCCTGATGAGGAGGCAGCCCCTGGGTAAATCCAAGAGTGGAGAAGGGAGCGCCGTTTCCGGTGGCCCCACAGCGAGGGGGGTGGGGGGCTGGGACCGCGAGACACAAGAAAACGCGAGGAAGGGTCTGAAGATGGAGCCCCCGGCCCCGGCCCACGGAGACCAGGGCTCCCGCAGGGGTCACGGTTGCCTCAAGGGGACCCCGACCCGGTTTGATTTGGGCCCCGTTTCTCTGCAAAACCAGAGCAACGCTCAGGCAGCGCCTTCTCTACCTTGTTTACCTGGGAAGTACCAGGGATGGAACCCGCCACGTGAACTCGCTGTTCACCAAACTTAGAACCCGTAACCCGAGACTCACGCGGGTAAACCCTGGGCACACGCAGGAGGCGCCACAGAGGCGGTCAGGGCCCAAGGCGGGTGTTGGGAGGTGACACAGAAATTGCAGGAAAGGCATCGGATGACAAGGACTCAAGAGGAGCTAGGACATTGTAGGGCCTGGCTCCGGAGGGCGTGGCCTGGCTCCCGAGGGCGGGGCCTGGCTGGAGGGCAGCCAAGACTGCGCCCTGCCGCCTTGGCATCAGGAAAGGCACCTGGATAGACTGTCCGCCCAGCCGAACTGAGTAACAGTGTATTTTGAAGCCCCCGGAGCTGTAGGATGAAACAGTGCCAGGTGTGCTCTCCTATCCTAGAACCTGGCGCCCGGCCAGCCTGCTAGTCCCTGGGCGGCGAGTCCTGAGGTTCGGGCGCTTGGAGAGGAAAGAAGTGCAGAGCCTGGGAGGCCCCGGGCCGGGCCGGGGCGGGGGCTCACTGGCATGAGAAATTCAGAATTACAGTTGTCCATTGAAAAACTTGTGTGTGCTTTGAATGATATGCTCAGTAAATTGCCAGGTCTGAGATGTTAACAGAATTTATCAAGAGTAGCACCACCCACAAGCTGGCTCTGGGGTTTGGAATCAGAGCTGTGAAGATGATAAGGTGGGAAAGGGTTGGCGTTATTCCTGCATCTAAGAAGAGCAGGGAGGGATGCTCATTGAGAAGCCACCAATTTCACCTTTTCCTTTCAGGAAATGATGCCTTTAAAACATGCTGTCAACAACAAAGCAAATAGATAAGAAGTCTTTTTATTTTTAAAGACGTTCATAGCAGGAAATCCTGAAATTGGATCACAGTTTCTAATTCATTCACTTTGTGGTAATGGTAATAATGAAGCATTTTTACTTGAATACGAAGAATAGAAACCCCCGCCTTCTCTCTGTGGATCTTTTACAAAAAGCAAACCCTCATGAACTGGACCCTCAGGCTCCGGCCGTGATGGCGCCGGCTTCTCCGGGTCCCTGAGCTCAGTCCACACAAGAAGCCAAACACCGGAAGGAAAGCAAGCAGCGCGGTTTCAGCACCTTAGCTCCCGGGCGGGCCCCCCTGGGAGCCGTGAGGAATGTGGAACCCGGGTCCACCTGGGGCCCCGAGTCCATGTCTCACTTTACCAAGTGCCCGGCCACTCAGGGCACGTGGGCGACGGGCATCGCTATATAACCCTGATGGCGCCTCTGCTGGGCCCTGGGAGACGGGAGTGTTGGCTCTGCTGGGAGCTCGCTGGGCGCAGACAGCAGAGGAGCCAGCGTACCTGGCGGCGGGGGCTCTTGGCCTGAGGTGGGGGTTGTCTCTGCAAACAAAGAAGAACCAACTCAAACGCCCACAGTTGGCAGAACCCGGGGAGCAGAGGGCAGAAGCTGCCCCAGCCGGTTCTCCAGGCGCCAGAGTCTAGTGCGCGTTGGGGTGGCGGCAGGTCACGCACAGCCCACTAGGTGGGTGTGGGCCTGCCCTCCCTCCCTCTCACCGCCCTGGCACAGCTGCTTAAGGCTGTGCGACCGGGCGGGCAAAGGCTGTCCCTGGTCGGGCACCAGCCTGTCCGGATGAGTAGAGAGAGCCAGCGGCTGCACGCCCCTGGGTGAGAGGCTGGGCCTTCGCTGGGTTACACTGTGGGCCACGCTGATGGACGCTCAGCTATGGCTGCCCGTCAGCTCTGCGACGACGGGAGGCCCCGGCACAGGAACCTGGACCCCTGCAAGGACCCCCGGCTGGGAGCAAGCCGCCTCGAGTTCCTGCCCTGATGCCAGATAATCCAGTTCCTCCCCGAACGTCCCCCAAAGCCGCCTCCCAGCGCTGGGCTCAGAGGAAGCGGAACCTTTCGTAGTTCAGCTCCAGGCCCAGATGAGCCACAAAACCAGCCACGGCTGCTGATGCCAGGACCAGCTGCCTGGGATAATGACCCCTGTCCCGGTGCCGCCACTCAATCAGGGGGACCCCGACCCCAAGAGGCCACACCAGGAAAGCTGCAGAACATTCTATTGTTCTATCGAGATCTTCCCCTGGGTCCTCGCTGACTTCTCCCCCTTAAAGCCCTCAGGACGAGGACCCAGTGCCCTCCCTCCCCCACCCCCCAGGCACCTTACCCACAGCTTCCTCGCCCCCAGCTCCCAGGGCCCCTCCTTTGCCTCCGTCACTTGTTTGCTGAGCCCATTTCCCCTTGGAATCACTTCGACCCCCGTGATCCCCCCAATCCATGTTCTCTCTAAAAACACTTGGCACAGATGTCCGTTTGTCAAACGGAAAGAGGGAGAGTGGATCGTGTTTAAATGCAGAAAAATGACAGCAGGAAACCTACCGGAGGGGGCGTCCGCGTCGGCGGGGGTGGACGGGGCGTCTGTGTGGACAAAGGGAGGAGACGCTCACACGCGGGAAAGGACACTCCTTGTGCCTGTTCTCCGATGTTCACTTTGTGGTCAAAACGGTCACTAAGGCCCAGCCGACGGGGCTCAGGGGCTGAGCGGCCACCTGTGAGCCAGGAGGTCGTGGTTCGATTCCCGGTCAGGGCACAGGCCTGGGTTGTGGGTTCCACCCCCAGGAGGGGGCGTGCAGGAGGCAGCTGATCCAGGATTCTCTCTCATCACGGATGTCTCTCTCTCCCTCTCCCTTCCTCTCTGACATCAATCAGAGTCTATGTTTTTAAAAATGGTCCCTCCGCAGACCATTCTCTAACTAGAACATGACGAGTAGGAAGCTGGTCTCGTGGATTTGAACGTCGTGAATTTGCACGTCGTGGTCGTGGTGAGCGAGCCTTACCGGGTGGGGGTGGGGAGGTCCAGTCTGTGGGGCTGGCAGAGGCATCTGCAGAAAGAGGAGGGGGGCTCACACGCCAGCCAGGGGACCCTGAGTTCTGTCTGTACTGAGTCTGCTGGGGACGCGCCCATGAGCAGCCCAGTCTGACAGCCGGAGAGGCAAGGAGGGCCCCTCAGGCAGACAGGGTTTACCTGGTGTGGGGGTTGGGGCCGGGGACACGGGAGCTGCAAGGGAACAGAAACACGATGGCAATGAGACAGCCGTCCGGGCCCAGCGGCTCTGCCAGATGCGGGAGGCGTAAGGCGGCTGTCCCGCTTCCCCAACAGGGTCCACACAGCCCCCTCCACTGCCTCCTGGCCACCCCTCCACCCTCGGGGCTCCATTCCTCTTGCCCACCCTTGGCCGCTGCCTTGAAGGTCGAGGGCAACACCATTGCTCCAAGTCTCCCCACCGCGTGTGGGTAACTAACCAGGACTCTGCAGACCTCAGAGCCAGGAGGTCACAGTTCGAATCCTGGTTCTGCACAGGCTGGGCTTCGGGTCTGATCCCCAGGAGGGGGCGTGCAGGAGGCAGCCGATCCAGGATTCTCTCTCATCATTGATCTCTCTCTCTCTCTCTCTCTCTCTCTCTCTCTCTCTCTTCCTCTCTGAAATCAATAAAAATACTTTTTGTTTTTAAAGCAAGCAAGAAAATAAAATTACCAGGCGGGGTGGTTAATCCTGAGGCTGATGCTGAAAGTGTCAAACAGAACAGAAATGAAAATAAGATAAAATCCAAACAAAGAGCCCACCCACCAACAGGAAATGTAGCCGATACTTCTTTATCTAAAACATATATTCCTCAGAGACACTACAGTTGGATAAAGGTGACTTCCGAATGCGAATTAAACATAAGAAAGGGCTCCTGGATGAGACTGAAACGGAGATAAGGGTGCACATGCCCAGGCTGTGGGCTCCATCCCCAGTGGGGGGCACGCAGGAGGCAGCCAATCCGTGATTCTCTCTCATCACTGACGTTTGTATCTCTCTCTCTCTCTTCTTCTCTGAAATCAATAAAAAGAGGGATATTTAAAACAAAACAAAACTCAGGGACCATAAAGTGTGATGGAAACTTCCCCGCCCTTGTCTTCATCTCACCCATCGGAACCTCATCTCCACCGGCCCTCAAGGCGGGTGGGGTGGGAGGCGGCCCTGGGCTGCGGAGGGACCTGGAGGGGTGGGAGCCGCAGATGTCAGCTCCACACGTTGCTTAGCAACAACAGGTGAGAACCAGGCTGTACGGGGTTCATTCAGCTCTCCCGAACGGTTGCATAACTGCTTCCGGCCGCAAGGAGCCCCCACGCTGGCCCTCGGTGAGGCTGCAGAGGCCTCGGGCAGCACTCTCTCCGCAGAAAACCTCCACGAGGAGGTGAGGAGACTCACACCCAGAAAAGCCGCTCCCGGAACCCCAAACCTTCCCGGCAGGGGCGCAGCTCCCGGGTCCCCAGGTTTGTTTTTTAAATATATTTTTATTGATTTCAGAGAGGAAGGGAGAGGGAGAGAGAGATGAGACATCCGTGATGAGAGAGAATCATGGACCGGCTGCCTCCTGCACACCCCACACTGGGGATGGAGCCCACAACTCAGGCCTGTGCCCTGACTGGGAATCGAACCCTGACCTCCTGGTTCACAGGTCAACGCTCAACCACTGAGCCACACGGCCGGGCCCGTGTATGCGTTTGCTGCTGGGATCTGGGCCAGGGGACAGGCTGTGACACCAGGCACGCTCGAACTCCTGCGACCAGGTCCTGGGGTGCTAAGTCTGAGGGCTCCCGGGTCAGGGACTGGCCGTGCTGACACTGGGAACATTCTAGGCGAACGGGGCCCAGGCGTTCCCCGCCTGGCGGACACGCCCTGCTGCCCGGAGGGAAGTGGTGGGGGTGAGGGGTCCCCATACCTGCACAGACGGCCCCGGCGTCCTCTTGGTGCCCGCAGTTGTGCACCGACAGGCCGAGGTGGTGGCACCGTCCCAGGCTGGTCTCGCTGCCCGTGCACCACAC